CCTCTGAGCCACTCCACGCCCTCCAGGACGAGGTCTGCGTTCCGCTCGGCATCAGCGGAGCCCCCAGCACAGCACAGCACAGCTCAGCACAGCATACAGCTCAGCGAGGGCCGCGACGCGCGCTCGCAGCGCGGCTGGGGGGCTGAGGTGGGGTCTCCGAGCGCGGCGTCTATGCGGGCCATGGCGCAGGGCGTGGCAGGTGTGGCACGTTCTCGATCTCGTAGGGGGTGCGCTGGGGGTGGTCTCCGAGCGCGGCGTCTATGCGGGCCATGGCGCAGGGCGTTGGCAGGTGTGGCACTTTCCTCATCCCGTAGGGGGTACGCGGGGGGGTGGTCTCCGAGCGCGGCGTCTATGCGGGCCATGGCGCAGGGCGCGGCAGGTGTGGCACTTTCCTCACCCCATAGGGGGTGCGCAGGGGGTGGTCTCCGAGCGCGGCGTCTATGCGGGCCATGGCGCAGGGCGTGGCAGGTGCGGCACCTTCTCGACCTCGTAGGGGGTGCGCAGGGGATGGTCTCCGAGCGCGGCGTCTATGCGGGCCATGGCGCAGGGCGTGGCAGGTGTGGCACTTTCTCGACCTGGTGGTCTCCGAGCGCGGCGTCTATGCGGGCCATGGCGCAGGGCGTGGCAGGTGTGGCACTTTCCTCTGTGCGCAGGGGGTGGTCTCCGAGCGCGGCGTCTATGCGGGACATGGCGCAGGGCGTGGCAGGTGTGGCACTTTCTCGACCTCGTAGGGGGTGCGCAGGGGATGGTCTCTCTGTCCGCGCCAGTCGTCCAGGCGTAGCAGGCATGTCACTTTCTCGACACCGTAGGGGGTGCGCAGGGGGTGGTCTCCCAATCCGCGCCAGTCGTCCAGGGCATAGCAGGCGTGGCGCTTTCTCGACACCATCTGGGGTGCGCAGGAAGTGATTTCCCTATCCGCGCCGGTCGTCCAGGCGTGGCGCTTTCTCGACACCATAGGGGGTGCGCAAGGAGTGGTCTCCCTATCCGCGCCGGTCGTCCAGGGCATAGCAGGCATGGCACTTTCTCGACATCATAGGGGGTGCGCAAGGGGTGGTCTCCCCATCCGCGCCGGTCGTGTAGGGCGTAGCAGGCGTGGCGCTTTCTCGACACCATAGGGGGTGCGCAAGGAGTGGTCTGTCTCTCTATCCGCGCCAGTCGTCCAGGGCCTAGCAGGCGTGGCATTTTCTCGACACCATAGTGGGTGCGCGGGGGGTGGTCTCTGAGCGCGGCCGCCATCCAAGACACTGTCGCACAGCCTTGCAAGCGTAGCAGTTGCACGACACCATAGGAGGTGCGAAGGGGGTGATCTCTGAGGGCGGCCGCAGGGGGCACCAGAGAGCATGGTGGCGGTGGTAGTGGTAGTGCGGTTCACGCAGGACGTAAAATCAGTGCTGTGTGTGGGGTTCCTCGGTAGCGTAATGTTGGTCTTCCCACCTGTTGGCAACACTTGGCTCCGAGATCACCCCAGAGCCACCAAAGGTCCCCAAGAGGGCTCACACATTGCCCCAGTGTGGCCCAGGACTACGGCTTTCTAGAGCAGCCCAAGAGGGCCAAAAGAGGCCCAGGACGGCCCGTAAGGCTCCAAGAATTGGACGGCCCAAGACGTCACTTCTTCCGCCCGCCTATACATGCACCTTGCTTCTAGTGCAATCCTCCCTCCTCCCACCTCTCCTCCCTTCCCATGCTCTGTCTGCAGCTTCCCCCGTTCCCCCCCCCCCCCGCGCCTCCTGCCCTCCTCCCACCTGCCATCCTGCCATCGGCCTTTCTCCCTCCTCGCCCGTCTCTCGTCCATCACGCCCCGTTCTTCCTTTCCATCTCCCCATTCCCTATCCCCGCCGTCTTCCGTCTTACCCCCCTCCTCTATCCATCTCTCGCGTCCGCCTCCTCCCTGCACCGTCCCTGTCTCTGTGTCCGCCTCCTCCCTCCATCGTCCCTCCGTTCACGATGCTCAATTCCGTTCTGCCCCCTCCCTTCCTAACCCGAAGAGTTGAGTTCCGCCAGAGATTCGCACCTCCAGACTAGAGCCCAAGCGCGAGAGATGCGCGTGCGTGGACCTAGCATGCATGTGCACAGACATGTATAGCTTCAAGTTTTTTGTTCTCTCTCTCTCTCTCTATATATATATGTATAATGAGAGGGAGAGAGAGAGAGAGAGAGAGAGGTGTCGCACATACGCGAAATTTGGCCACTGGGCCCCCAGGGGCATTTCCCCCACGACAGGCCAGCTGTGCCGCTCCGTGATGTGAGCGCATGAGGCCTAGCTCAGACTTGAAGCCAGCATGGGTAATGTTGCATTTGCATGGCTGGCATGGTTAGGTATCAAGTGGACAGGCCGACTGATAGCCCCCTCGTGTTAGTTGCCTGAGGTGAGCATGGTCTGGCTCATTGGCTGCTTCTCGCATTACCCCTTACGTAGTCGAAATGTCCTTGTCAGATCCCCCTCCTCCTGCTCCTCCTCCTCCTCATCCTCCCCCCTCCTCCTTCTTCTCCTCCTCCTCCTCCTCCTCCTTGTCCTCCTCCTCCTCCTCCTTCTCCTCCTCCTCTTCCTCCTCCTCCTCTTTCCGTCAATAGCTTTCCGATGTGATTTGGACAGACGGCGTGGCTTGGCTGACCCCGCGTCCCGTAGCTATCCGTCCTACTAGCTTTGTGTTCGCGTCTAGCGACAAGCACACGATCGGTGAAAGGGGCCCCCGCAGCCACGGGGAGCTCCTCGGAGGGCTGGAGGGCTCCTGAGAGGCCCCGGTCGTCTGAGGAGGGCTCCTCGGAGGAGGGCTCCTCGGAGGAGGGCTCCTCGGAGGAGGGCTCCTCGGAGGAGGGCTCCTGAGCCCTGAGCGGCCCCGCTCGTCTGAGCGGCCAGAGGACTGCTCGGGGGGCCTTCTGAGAAGGCTCGTCCGCTCGCGCCTTCTCCCTCTGGCGCGCCGCCGATGGGTCTCGACGGGCCGCCTTATACAGGGAGCTCGACGGCGGAGGGCGAGGAGCCAGGGGAGGGCAGGGAGCGGTGGGGGAGGGGGAGGAGGTGCAGGAGGGGAGGGCAGGTGGACCACGCGGTTGTTCGGGACATCGGCGGTGCAGCCTTTCTAGGCAGAGCCCGTGAGACATCCTCACCGCTCCTCGGGGACAGGGCCCCCGCCCAGCAGTGTCGCTATCGAGGGCCTCTCGCCGATCTAGTGGCGGTGTATCGCCGATTCCACGTCAGTGTTCCTACCCCCCCCCCACCCCTTTGATCCATTCCACGCTGTTCTTCCACGACGGTTCTTGGCGGGCACTCGCGGGTTCCGCGAGGCCGTCAAAGAACGTTTCGGGATGAGCAGCCAGCCCCCGGGAAGGGGTCGGGACCTCTGCGGAGCCACGCCGTGAATCGAACGCCTTCGAAGGCGGGGATCCATGCAGAAACACCGCCTGGGGCTGCCAGATTCGGGGACGTCGGCAGGTGAGGGATATGAACACATTTCCCCCCCCCCCCCCCCCCCTGGGCCAGCGGGCAAATGTATGTAGCCAGCATACATGTGTGTATGCATGGTTGCTCGTCTGTGTGCATTTGTGTTGTATGTATATATGCATGCATGCCTGCATTTACGTGTATGTTGGTATGCGTGTGAATGTATGCATGCATGCATGTATGTATGCATGCATGCATGCATGCATGTATGTATGTATGTATGGATGGATGCATGTATGTATGGATGGATGCATGTATGTATGTATGTGTGTATGTATGTGTGTATGTATGTGTGTGTATGTATGTATGTATGTATGTATGTATGTATGTATGTATGTATGTATGTATGTATGTATGTATGTATGTATGTATGTGTGTCTGTCTGTCTGTCTGTCTGTCTGTCTGTCTGCCTGCCTGCCTGCCTGCCTGTCTGTCTGTCTGTCTGTCTGTCTGTCTGTCTGTCTGTCTGTCTGTCTGTATGTATGTATGTATGTATGTATGTATGTATGTGTGTATGCATGTATGTACGTATGCATGGTTGGAGGGATGAATGTACGTACGTACGTACGTACGTATGTAGGTATGTATGTATATGTGTGTGTGCATGTAAGTATGTATGTATGCATGTATGTGTGCATGCATGTATGTATGTATGTATGTAGGGATGAATGAATGTATGTATGTAGGTGTGTATATGTATATGTCTATATATATATACACACCCACATCTACGGCCTGCCGAGGTCCCCGAAGATCCATCCCCCAGGCGGTGGTTCTTCACCCCCTCCGACTCGGACAACCTCGGCGTTGGGATGCCCTGCCCCCCTCCGCCTTCGGTCTAGAGGCGGCAGCCGCCCCGGCGCGGCCCGGCTGGACGCGTGGCTGTGCCGGGAGGTGCTGCAGCAGCAGGCGGGCGGACCGGGCGAGGAGGAGGAGGAGGAGGAGGAGGAGGAGGAGGAGGAGGAGGAGGAGGAGGAGGAGCGGGTCGGGAAGTAGCCCTCGGGAGCCCAATTCAGCATCGTCGCTGGTTCGTCCATGGTCGAACCTCATAAATACCAGAAATCTGACGAATACCACACTACCGAAAAAAACGGCGTCCTGGCCGGCCGCATCCTCGCCGGAGGGATACCGTTGCAGCTCATGCAGAAGAGGTGCCATGGCAGAGTAGGGGGCGCATCACGTGTAGCAGCGCGCGCAGTGTTGTGAGCCGGCGCAGCGCGTGCAGTTTCACGCCTCGAGTGCCGCATGCCTTTCGGAGAACCGCTCCTCCGACAGCGGGCGCGCAGGCCGAACTGAACTGCACGGAGCTTCCGTATATAGTCTCCCCGGATCCGGTTCTTCCTGGGCGTCGTCCTGCCTGCTCCAGCTCCGTGGCCCTCTTCCTCGGGCCTTTCTATGTATGCCCCTCTGGCGAAGAGCTCCCAGCAGCCAGTGGCATCCTGAGGGGGTGCAATGCTGCTTGCTCCAGTTCCATGTCCTGCTCTCTGGGGCTTGATCCATGCCCCTTCTGGCGAAGACCTCCCAGCAGCCAAGTTGCCTCCTGAAGATGGGGTCGAGGTTCGGGACAGACGGAAAGGGGGCCTCTGGCGAAGAGCTCCCAGCAGCCAGTTGCCGCCCAAAGATGGGGCCGAGGTTCGAGACAGACGAGGGTTAAGTCGGGCCCGTCCCTCTAGACAGGAAGGATATTCCAAAATCGTGCAAAAATAGTTCGGGGACGAGTTGCCCGAGTATGTTTCGACCATTTGTGAGCATGTTTGGATTAAACAAGAAGCCTTCTCCAACACCTGCCTGTAGGGGGACATGCCTGGCCCAAGACGAGAAGCAGGCTCGAGGCTCCGTGCTCTCTTCAGCGCCCTCGTCGGTCCCCCGGCGGTCCTGCGGCCCCAAAGGGGGGGGGGGGGTCCTCGCCGCGAGGGCCTCCCACACGGGGGGGTGGCGCCCGGATCGCCCGCGCGAGCGGCCGCCGGAGGGCCGCGCGCGCTGCGACGGGGCAGCCGGGCGACGGGGAGGAGGCCGGACGCCAAGGGAGCAGGCAGAGCACGGAGTAAAACGACGCGAAGATCGGGACAAAATCGAAACGGGATAATTCGAAATCTCTGAGAATCGGCTATTGGGCGCCGCGGCCGCTCCAGAGCGTTCCGGAACGCTCTGAGAGCGCTCCGGAACGCTCTGGAGCGATTTATCCCGATCTTAGCCCTGTTTTACGGTGGCGAGAGCGAAAAGAGGACGCACACGTAGAGGAGTCCGTGCTGGTCGCGAGAGCACGCTCTGCGCAGGTGTCCGTGTCACGCGGCCGGTCCCGCGGATCGATGGGGCCGCGCTCGTGTGCACAGTTGGGCGCGTGCGCTCGTTGTGGGTTCCCTGCACAGGTTCTGCATCCGGGGCCAGGTGTGCCCCCTCCCTCGCTCCGCCCCTCCCTGGGTCTCCTCTCTCTGCATGCTTCCTCTCCCCCTCCCTGAGGCCACGCGCGCGGGACCACGCTTTTTCGACTGGCCGGGCCGCTCCTCTGCATCTCCGGCGAATTCGCCTCCTTCTCGACTGCACGGGGCATCTAAAGTCAGCTCTGAGGTGTACCGCAGGCTTCGCTGAGCTGTTCGCGGGGAGGTGTCCGCTTTCGTCCCCTCCGCTTTCCTCCCTTTCCTCTTTTTTCCGCCAGGCCTGACAAACAGAAACTGTGTTGCCTCCGAGGGGGCGCGTCGGCAGGAGAAGCGAGCCGCCACATGTTGTCGAGGGCGGCGGCGGGCGAGAGAGCGCGGCCAAACGCCGTCGCCAGGATGATGACGATTCGATGGGTGGCGCCGCCGGGCGGACCACATGTAGAATAGACGGGAAAGGGGGGGGTGGCAAAGGCCAGTGCGAAATCTGCTGCGTGCAGCTCGTGTCGGTCCAGCCGACTCGAAACGAGGAGCGGGGGGAGGAGGAGGAGGCGGCTTCCAAAACTCCACCCAGGCCATCGTCGCCGTTTTCGACGCGCACCTCGGTTTTGGTACGCGGCTAGTCAGCCTGGCTGTTCTATGTGCCGGGGGCAGGGAGACTAGCTGCGCGCCAGAAGGAATAGGTGTTGGGCGACGACGACGAGGACGCGAGCGATTGCTTTCGTGGTGGGGGCGGGTTCTGCGGGGGCTAGCAGTCGAGGCTTCTAGGGGGTTTTGAGGGAAGGAGGAGTAGGAGGGGCACGTGAAAGAGAATTGAGGTATTGAGGAGGAGGGGAGGGAGGAGCGGCAAGAGGATGGGGGATGCTGGAGGAGTGTTGATGAGGAAGAGAAGACAATTAGGGTAGGGAGGCGGGTAAGTGTTGGGAAATGAGAAGTTGGGTGTGTGAAACACAAAGCTTAGATTAATGAGTGGTCCTCCGTTTCAACGGGGTACCACAATATTCCCGCCATTGGCATCGCACGGTCGGCATCTTCTTGCCCCCGTGGAAATTCCAGTTCAATCCCATAATGCGTTATACATATAGATACACGTCTGTGTGCTTGCCAGCCTGGACCCCAAGCAGTGATCTGTGCAATCTAGGTGGTGCAATGACTGTCGTGCAATCTTGGTGGTGCAGTCCATGCGGTTCAGTCTGCGCGATGCGAAGCCATGCAGTGCGAGCCAAAGCTATGCAAAGCAATACCGAAAAAACGCAGTGCACGGCTATGTCTAACAATGTAAAGCAACGCAAAGCCTTGGCATCGCCCGGGCGTGTGCATTGTTTCCTTCGGCGAGGACCATCGAGGAGCATCCTTGATCATTTGGCGAAAAAGCCGCGCACGAAACCGGAAAAAACAGAGGGAATGGACGTCCCAGCGATGGCCGGGAGCTGTGCAACGCATCGACACGCAATGCAGACCAGGGCAAAGCAGCGCGGCGACGAGCCAGCCAGAGCGGCGAAGAGCCGGCGACGGGCGGCGACGAGCCGGGCCGGACCGCCACGGGGGCCCCGCTGCCCATGCGCAAAAGTAAGAAGCCCTAAGTGCAAGCACGGTTCGGGGAATGCCCTCTCGCTCCCTCCCTCGTTCGCTCTCGCTCTCTCTCTCTCTGTCTCTCTATGTCTCTTTCTCTCTCTCTCTCTCTATCTCCCCTGCCCTCCCCCCCTCCCTACCTCTCTCTCTTTCGCTGCCAACCGCACTCTTTTTTCTACTCCTGGTTTCTCCTGGCTCCTCTTCCTGCCTTTGCATCCCCCCTAATCTTCGGAGGTCTCCAGGGGTCATCGCCAGGTGTCTCCTGAGCCCCCCATGAGGTATCCGAATGCTTCCAGAGGCCCATGCGATTTCGAACCTCGATGCTCGATCCTTGTTTCCTGCCCTCCGCCATGCTATTGCTCTGTCCAAGTCGACCCACGGGGCCTTTCCAAAGGCCAATCTTGACAAGTACTTGTTCCTCCCGGGTCGATTCCTGACGAGGTTGCTTTTTGGCGCGACAAAATATTGTTCTGACAAATACTTGTTCCTCCCGTGTCGATTTCTTGACAAATACCTGTTCCTCCAGTGACGATTCCTTCGGCGCGTAGCGGGCGTTACCCCCCTCCGGGTGACGGGTAACGATCTTACGTATTGGGGGGGGGCTTGGAACCCCCCTCCACACACATGCTGGCGCTCGCGCGTAAACTCTGGCGGTCGCAGCGCACCTCCTCCCCTACGTGCCACACCCTGCGTTACAGTTATCCGGGTTCCCAACTCCCGCCCCTGGTAACGAGCGTTACCAGCCCCTGGTTTGAGCGTTATTTGGCGAGGAATCCACCCATATGCAGGTGTGAGTACCGCAAGACAGGTGGATAATTATTGAGGCAGGTGGCTAGGAAAAGACGCAGGCGTGCGTGGGCAGGGCGGAGCGACATTGCTGATGGGGTCGCAGAGGACAGCCGCAACGGGTTGCATCTGGATGTAGCCTTAAATCGGGCCTGTCCCTCTGCAGGAGGAATATTCAAAAATAGTCAAAATATCGTCTGGGGATGGTTGTTTGAGTATTTGTTGACCATTTTGGAGTTTTTTGTTGAGGTTTCCTATCTTTCGCCCACAGGCCTCCTGGAGGGGACACGCCCGACCTACGTGTAGCCCGTTGCAGATGATCCGCGCGTCTGTCTGCGCAGCCCCAGGGGACCGCATGCGGCGCGGGCCTCCTTCGGCGGAGGCCCCTGTCGGGCCACGGAGCGCGCAAGAGAGGTGTGCCGACTTGGGAGCAAAAAAAACACACTGTGGGACAAAATTATCCCGGCAAAGCAACCTAACAGCGATGTGTAGGAGCATATCTGGAAGCATTCCCCTTAAGATTCGGATGGGAATCCAGTTGTAGAATTCTGCTGTTCTCGCAGTCGTAGTCGCATTCGCGATGACAGTCGCAGCGGCAACGGCAGTCGCAGTCACAGCCTCAGCCTCAGCCTGCCTCAGCCTCAGCCTCAGCCTCAGCCTCAGCCTCAGCCTCAGCCTGCTTCAGCCTCAGCCTCAGTCTGCCTTCAGCCTCGGCCTCAGCCTCAGCCTGCCTCAGCTCAGCCTGCAGCCTCAGCCTCAGCCTCAGCCTCAGCCTGCCTCAGCTGCTCAGCCTCAGCCTGCCTCAGCCTCTCAGCCTGCTTCAGCCTCAGCCTCAGTCTGCCTTCAGCCTCGGCCTCAGCCTCAGCCTGCCTCAGCCTCAGCCTGCATCAGCCTCAGCCTCAGCCTCAGCCTGCCTCAGCCTCAGCCTGCCCTCAGCCTCAGCCTCAGCCTGCCTCAGCCTCAGCCTCAGCCTGCTTCAGCCTCAGCCTCAGTCTGCCTTCAGCCTCGGCCTCAGCCTCAGGCTGCCTCAGCCTCAGCCTGCATCAGCCTCAGCCTCAGCCTCAGCCTGCCTCAGCCTCAGCCTGCCTCAGCCTCAGCCTCAGCCTGCCTCAGCCTCAGCCTCAGCCTGCTTCAGCCTCAGCCTCAATCTGCCTTCAGCCTCGGCCTCTCAGCCTCAGCCTGCTCAGCCTGCCTCAGCCTCAGCCTGCCTACATCAGCCTCAGCCTCAGCCTCAGCCTGCCTCAGCATCAGCCTCAGCCTCAGCCTGCCTCTGCCTCAGCCTGCTTCAGCTTCAGCCTCAGTCTGCCGTCGGCCTCGGCCTCAGCCTCAGCCTGCCTCAGCCTCAGCCTGGCATTCGGATTCGCAGTGGCAGTCGCAGTGGCAACATCAGCGGCAGTCGCAGTGGCACTGCCAGTAGTTGCAATAGCAATAGCTACACTAGCAGCAGCAACAGTGGCCCGGGAGTGGAGTTCTGGGAAGTGGAAGAGCACGAAGTGGCCTACAGTTGGCTCCGGGCATTCAAAATGTGGCCCAGGAATGGTGTTCTGGGAAGTCCAAGAGCACGAAGTGGCCTACAGTTGGCTCTGGGCATCCAGAATGTGGCCCGGGAATGGAGTTCTGGGAGGTCGAAGAGCACGAAGTGTGTGACTGTTGGCGAAAAGCGAGCCCGGCTCTGTTCCCGGTTCTTTTCCCGGTTCTCCTCCCCGGCACCCGCCCAGACCCCCTTGTGGAGTCCAGATGCTCTCTTTTGACCCTACTAGAAACCTATCAGCAAAAGCTGTTAGGTAAAAACACAACACACACACACACTGTGCTTTTTTTGTTGTGTGTGTGTGTGTTTTTGGGACCGCATGCGGCGCGGGCCTTCGGCGGAGGTCCCTGTCGGGCCACGAGGCGCGCAAGGGAGGTGTGCCGAATTGGGAGCGGCCGCGCAGGCGAGTCGTGCCACCGGGGCCCTCGGCGAAGCGCCCAGGAGGGCCACGGGCCGCCCGAGGGGCGCGCCGGAAGGGTGTGGGTTGGAGGCGGGCTAAGGCAGCCGTTGGGGCCTCGGGTCCTCCAACATAGCCTATCCTCCTCCTCCTCCTCCTCCTCCTCCCTCCTCCTCCTCCTCCTCCTCCTCCTTGCTCCGCCTCCTCCTCCTCCTCCTCCTTGCTCCACCTCCTCCGCCTCCTCGCCCTCCTCTCCCTCGCCCTCGTCTTTGCGGGGCCACGAGACGTGTGAGGGGTGCCCCGAAGTGGTAACCGCATGCGGGCGATCAGAAAGTATACCCGCCCTCTGTATCTGGTTGTCCCCGGGTTCTATACCATTTCAGCTTGCCGCAGCAGGCGGGAAAACAACTTGGTCATCCCCCCAAGGAGTTCGCATCGTAGCTCTGATTTTCACATCATGCATCGTACCATGAGTAATCCGTATTATCATTATTGTTCGGATGTCTCAAGCGAAACGCCCATGTTCGAAAATTTGCCGAGTTCGAGGCCATCAGCTCTTGAAGGATGTCTCAAGCGAAACGCTTTGTTGTGCAAAGAGCACTGTCGCGAAGAAAGACCTGTCTGCTCCTCCTCCCCTCTTCCTGCTCTCCCTGCTACTCCTCCTCTCCTTTTCTCGTCCTTCTTCTCCTTCTCTTCTTTTCCTCCTTCTCTTCTCGCCTCTGTCTCCCTAATCCGTTCTTTTTCCTCAGTCCCTGGCCCGAGACATTAATCCGAAGCTTTTCTAATCCCCGAACGACAGAGACAATGATCAGTCCAACTCGACGAGTTGAGCACCACCACGAGACAATGTGTGTTAACAATGGAATTCGATAGGCCAGACACTCTGGAATGTTCTGGGGATCCTTCTCATCCTTCTCTTCTCTCCTAGAGGGATGCCCCCGAAAGGATCCAATCTACGACTTCGCCATCGTAGTTTACGGGATTTGTGCTCATCCGATATCTCCAAGGAGGCGCCCCGAGAGGGACCACTGTACAAAGCCACCGTGGTATTTCATATGAGTTTGGCTTTTCAAAACTCCAGGGAGGCCTTCAAGACGGATCAGGAAGGCTCCATGGAGGCTCTGAAGACCAATCCAGACATCCTAACATCGAATTCGCATGGACAAATATTATCTATTCTGGGCCCCGGACGTTGTTTTCCCCTGCAGGGGCCTTCTCGCCGGCATAGGGTTATTGACCAGGTACGCGGAACCAGCCACTTGGGCTTTTGCTCGAGCTCCTTATGGGACCACGAAACGTATGAGGGCTGCGCTGCAATTGTGTGGGGCAGGCATGCGAACGCAGCAACTGGGGCATCAGCAGGTGGACCTCCCTATGGGGCCACGGATTGTGTGAGGGTGCGGCGAAATTGTGCGAACCAGCTACGTAGGCCCTTCCAGTGCGGCCTCCGGTGGAGCTCTTGATGGGGCATCGGAATTTGTGAGGGGTGCGCCGAGGGGGTGTGGACAATGCATGCGGGCGAACCTACTGGGGCCTTAGCTGGGGCCCTCTATGGGACCACGAAACGTGTGAGGGGTGCGCCGACATGGTGGGGACCAGGTGCGCGGGCTGAGGGTGGGGACCAGGAATGCGGGCCCTGGGGCCTCATGTGGAGCTTTCTCTGGTGCCACGAAGCGTGTGAGGGGTACGCCGAAATTGTGTGGACCTGGTATGAGGGCCCAGCCACCAGAGCCTCAGGCGAAAGTCCCTGTGAGGCCACGATGCGTGCGAGGGGTGTGCTGAGATGGTGTGGAGACGATATTCGAGACAGGGAGCGGGGAGGGAGAGGAGGGAGGATGCGAAGAGGACGCGGGGCGATGCGTGTTCAAAACGACAGCCCAACTCGAAATTGGTTGGGCGAACGGGCAGCGGGCCCCCCAAAGGCCGAAGCCCGAGGAGAAACCTCGGTACCCGATCGTCCAGACTCGAAGCGTCTGGGTCATTTTCTCGGGAGGGGCCAAGGTAGCCGCGCTTTGCGCGGCGCGTCGTGGGCCAAGGGATGCCGCCCTTCTCCAGGGGGGCGGCGCGGCGGCGCGAAGGTAGCCGCGCATCGCGCGGCGCGATGCGCGAGGCGCGACGCCGGGCGACGTAGGCGACAGCGAGCGGCCACGGCGGCGGCGGCGCCGGCGGCGCCGACGGCGCAGGCGCCCCTGGCGGAGGGCGGCCCTGCGGGGGGCGGCGCGGCGGCCGCCGGGTGCGCGGGCGAGGCCGCGCAGCGGCGGCGGCGAGGGGCGGCGGGCGGCGGCGGCGGCAGCAACGGCGACAGAGACGGCGAGCCTCGTCGGGCGACGGCGGCGACGGCGACGGCGGCGGCGGCAACGGGAGGGTGACCGGCAGCGACAACGAGCCTCCCCCGACGAGGGCGGCGGCGGCAGGGAGATCGACAGCGACGACGGGGGCGGCGGCGGCGGCGGCGGCAACGACGGCGACTCAGAGGGGTAAGCGGTGCCGATACCACTACCGTTTCCGTGCTTTCGCATGTCTGCCCCCCGGGAGGCCCTCGTCGCCACGGCTGGCTTCGCTTGAATTTAGGCCTCCTAGATGGGGTCGGAGTAGATGGGGTCGAAGGATCGCGCCGCATCGGCGATGCATCGGCGATGCATCGGCGATGCGGCTCGATGTGGGGCCTAATTCTCTCCACGCCATCGTCGCCGATTCATCGCCGACGCCGCCAGCGCATTGCCGATGCATCGTCAGACCGCACCCTGGGACTGTCCCGTGGAATAGCGGCAATTATTGACACTTTTGTGTTCCCCCAGCGCCCCAGCGACAGACACGGTGAGGGCGGGCGGCGGCGGTGACGGCATCGACGGCGACAGGCGACGAGGGCGACGGCGGCGGCGGCGACCACGGCGGCGGCAAGGGCGGCGACAGTGACAACGACGGCGGCGGCGGTGAGCGCCAGGCGCCCGGGAGGTCAGAGCTCGCACCGAGGAGGAGGAGGAGCAGGAGGAGGATTTTGAGGAGGACCCCAGCAAGTACAGTGTAGGCGTGCGGCCAGGTTGTTCGCCCTTTGCTGCACCTCTCTCCCAATGCTGAGGGCGAAATGTCTGAGAGGCTCGATTCAGCCTCGGCGCTGGTATATCAGTGGTCGAAGGCCGGCCTGCCCGGGCAGAATCCCATATCACGTATCACGTTCAATATTGGGTTTGATCTTACCTGGCGTGGTGGCGTTCCAAAAGGATTTGATTGGGCTTCGTCTGGGTTTTGGCCGGGCTCAATCGCCTTCGCTTGTTCTTGCGAACACCTCTCAGGCGGTGCGCGTGTTCCTGCGAAGCCCCGCGCTGCATACTCGCCACAGGTCGGGGCTGGGTTGACATCCGCAGCCCTCTGGGCCTCCCGAAAGGGGTCCGTCTTGATGGGGTCGGAGGATTGCGCCGCATCGGCATTGCATCGGCGATGCAGCTCGATGTGGAGCCCGGTTTTCTTCATGTCAATGTCGCCGATGCGTCGCCGACTTCGCCGACGCATCGCGCGATGCTTCGCCGATGCATCGCCGACGCGGCGCGATCGTCCGACCCCCAGCTGCTTGGACCGCAGACCTCTGAAACCCGCTTTGGCCCATCGCGGACAAGAGCCAGCAGCTGGTTGGAGTGCCTCGGCGGGGGCGGCGGCGGCACCCCCGAAGCATCCTGAGGCCAGGCAGCCTCGGGGACCCCAGGGGCGCGTCTTGAAGGTCTGGCGCCGTGATTCCTCGCACGACGCCGGGACGTCAAGGCCTATTGGCATCGCTCGGACGTGTGCATTCTTCCTTCGGCGAGGGCCACCGAGGAGCATCCTTGACCATTTGGCGAAAAAGCCACGCACGAAACCGAGCAAAAACACAGGAGATGGACGTCCGAGCGATGGCCAGGGGTGCACCTCCTGGGGCGTCAGGCTCCAGCTGGGAGGCGCGCCCACGCCCCGCGGGCTCCTGCGCGGTCCCGCGAGGCCCCCGCGCGCTCCTGGCTCGCTGGGGCTGCCTCCCGAGCTCCGTCGGGGCTGCGCTGGCCTCTTGGCCCCCCCGATCGGGCTCGTCACCCCGACGAGCCGCCGAGGAGGAGGAGGGACTGGAGGAGGGGGAGGAGGAGGAGGAGGAGGGGAGGAGGAGGAGGAGGGGGAGGAAGGGGGGAGGAGGGGAGGAGGAGGAGGAGGGGGGAGGAGGGGAGGGGGGGAGGAGGGGAGGAGGAGGAGGAGGAGGAGGAGGAGGAGGAGGAGGAGGAGGAGGAGGAGGAGGAGGAGGAGGAGGAGGAGTGCAGAGGCCTCTCAGCAGCCGGCCTCTTGACGACTCGACGGTGTCCGGGCCATCCCCTCCCCCCGCGGCCGAGCCGGGCAGGCGCTCGAGCAGGAGCTCCAGGAGGCCCTGCTGCGAGCGCAGGGGGACGCCCTTCCCCCCGGCGCGGCGTTGGGCGCGCCCGCGCCCAGCGCTGGGGCGGCGCCTCCACCAGGGAGGTGCGCCGAGCTGACGGTGCCCCAGGAAGGCCAACGTGACTATTCCCAGCCATGATCGCGTCGTAAAACATCAAATCAGGACGGCGTGTTTTTCAATGTTTACGGTCCCTGGGGGCCCTCGCCAGGCCCCAGGACCGTAACAGGAACGACGCAGGATGAACAACTGGCCCTGGGGAAAGGGTCAGGACCTCCGGGGACGCCGTGTTGACAAAAACATCAGGACGTCGCATGTCTGGGTTTGGTTGACCCAACAGGGGGTGAAGCGAAGAGGTGGTGGTGCAATAAATTGGCTGGGTTGCGATTGATTCGGGGTGCGCAGTCAATACATTCCTGTGCGCAAGTGTATTGCTGGACTCATCGCGTGCACTACATGTAGGTGCAGTGCAGTGCTATGCAAGTCTCTGGAGCAATACATGTGCAATATACTTGCCCAAAATGTATTGCACCACATCCCTCCAGCTGGACTCCCTTCTCAGACCCCCGACGTCATGATTGTTTCATGACGTCGACCCCCAGATGTCTCGACCCCTTCCCAAGGACCGGCTTCTCGTCCTGAGTCGGTTTTGACGGCCCCGAGGGCCGGCGAGGGCACCCAGAGGCCGAAAATGGCGAGACACTTACGCCGCGATTTTCCATGACTCGAGGGGATCTGGGTTTGGTGTCACGAGGAACAGAACAACAAGACGGCAGCAACAGCCAAAGAGTCTCGGGTGCTTCTCCTGGGTGCCTCTTGGGTCGGCTCTGGGCCACGCCCTTTGGGCGCGCCCCTGGCGCGGTCCCGCGCGGACCCAGGACGTCCGCGGCGGCCCCCGAGAGCCCTATTCGTAAGTCGGGCCTGTCCCTCTACAGGAGGAACATTCAGAAATAATTATGAAACAATGGTACGGGGACGATTTCCAATACTCTTGAATCTTCTTTGCATTTTTTTTGTGTTTTGCACTGTTCGTCCAACATCCGCCTGTTGGGGGGAACGCCCGACCTAACCCTAGTCCCCGCCCGACAAGTTGGGGATCATGCTCGATCTTTGCTTAGCCTATATATATATATATACACATAAGGAAGCAACAACAAAACGCCGACCCGCCCCTCGCACACCCTGCATGCGCCGCGGCCACCAGGTCCAAAGGGAGCCAGCGCTCCCTGGGTGCGGCGCCCCGTGCCCTCGGCTCCGACGCAGGGGACGGCGGCCTGCCTCGGCCGCCGGGCCCCGAGGGTGCCGGTGCTCCGCAAGGACCCCGCCTCCTCCTCCTCCTCCTCCTCCTCCTCCCTCCTCCTCCTCCGTGCTCTCGGGTGGGGTCGCTCGAAGCAAAACTTGCGGGGTCCAGAACCTAAGTCGGGGGTGCCCCTCTACAGGAGGGATGTCCCCAAAGAGTCAGAAAGCAAAAAGGCAGGGGGCGATGTCTGGTGTACTGTTTTTGACTATTTCGGTGTATCGCTAAGTTTTAGTCTTCTTCATCTTCCGCCCAAAATCCGCATGTAGGGGGACATGCCCGACCTGATCCAAAACCCGGATAGGAGGGCGCCAGAGTGGCGTGGAAAGGCATTTCGCAGAGCTCTGGAAGGACCTTCAGAGAGCTTTCGCGAAGGAGCTTCTGGGCACGCGTATGGGGAAACGCTTAGAAAAAAGGCTTGCCAGAACACGCTGCCGGCTCAAGCCGGCCGCGCCGGGGGTGTTTTCCTGTAAGCCGGAACGAGCTCCAGGGCTACCCTGCGGCTCTGGCTTCTTGATCTGGAACTATCCCAGCTCTCTGCGAGCCAGCCGGGAATCTGTCCGGTGCTCGTCGCTTTCTCTTCCAGGTGCTGGTGCAGGGGAGGCCCCACCCTCTGGACCAGGCGCTCGACAGCGACGAGCTGCAGGAGCCAGAGCGGCGCAAGCGTTCCGACGGCCGGGACAAGTCGAGACAGGCAGTCTTTCGGGATTTTGCAGCGTGGGAACATTACGGCGGGAGTTTTGTTGGGCATTTTCAGCTTCTGGGGGCCTTCGCCAGGCCCAGGGATTGTCAACAAACGAACTCAGCATTGAAAGTTGGTCTTGGGGAGTGGGCTGAGGCCCACGTTGCGGTGGAGGCGTTGGTTGAGGCATGGGCCCAGAAGGCGTCAGACCTTGGAGGATGTCTTCCCTGCTGAGGGCGGCGGTGGCATCCATGGCCAGTCCACGATCAGAGTGCCACTGGCTTCCCAGATCCCCCACTCCCCGGGACCTGCTTCTCATCCTGAGTCTTGGGCGTTGCGTAATAGGGGGGTCATAAATGGGGGGGTGGCGAGGGTGGTCCGAAAAGGTACCCAAACGGTGCCCAAACGAGCCCCCTGGGGCTCCGGAGGGGCCCGAAAGGGGCACGAAAGGGGACCGTTTCTGACCCCCCTATTTGTGACCCCCCCATGAAGCCACGCCCAAGAGTCGTTTTCTGACGGCCCCGAGGGCCAGCGAGGGCCCCCGGAGGCCAAGCGTGGCGAGAAGCCTCCCGCCATGATTTCTTCACTACAGTCGGGCCGCTGAAGAAGGAACCCTTTTCGTTTGGGAGGGGCTCCGGGTTCCTTCGTTGTTTCGCAGTGATCCCTGGGCTTTTCTGAGGTTTTCCATGGAACATTGGAGTTTAATTTATGGGAGAAAGTAACCTCGTTCCTTATTGATCGTTCCTTGGGTCAGCGCCCCGACTGTACTCGAGGGGGTCTCTGGGGTCCAGGGCCCTGGAGCCCTCCTCGAGGGATCCCTCTTTGCCCAGTGCCCTCGCCGTAGGAGCAGAGCATGCCGGACGGGGCCTGGGCGGGCCGGCATGACACGCCTGTAGTTGCAAGTAGGTGTTCTGGGACACCCAGGTCCCAGTCTCGTTGTAGAGTTGTGGGTGTCGATGAATGGTGAGGAAGAATGCTGCCAAATCATTTCCAGACGTCTACAACATGTCTCAAACATGCTGCAGATATGAATCAGCACGCCTGGAACGTGTTTAAGACATGTTCTACACGTGCTAAACACGTCTTCAGTTCAATGACAGGACTGTTCGAGTGTCCAGAGTCATGGCATCCACGGTTTAGAGGCGCCTCCCTAGTCCAATCATCGAGTGCTCGTCCCTCGTCCTGCGTCTCCAGGGGGCGGGCGGAGATCCGATCTACTTCCAACGCCTTCCTGTGTTCCACGCTTCTGCCCACCTCTTTTCGGGGGTGGACAGACCTCCTACCCTGACACGTCGATGAGCGACTTGGCCGTCTTCGGTTCGCGAGGGGGCGTCGCGGCCGATTCGTGTTTGCGGGTCCGGGTCCGTCGGTTTCGGTCCCGGGGCCGTTTTCAACGAAGGGAGGTTCGCTAAGAGAGGCCTGCCCACCGCCGAGTCCAACGCCCTCCTATCGGAGGGCACCAACTATACACCAACACCGTTTCTGGCCCAGGATCACCCTGGGCCCAGGATCGGTGTATATGCCTTCTTGCCCAAGGCAGGAGGGCGTATACACCGTTCCTGGGCCCAGGGTGATCCTGGCCAGGATCGGTGTTGGTGTATAGTCGGTGCCCTCCTATCCTGCTCCACGCTTCTGCCCCCCTTTTGCCGACCGACGGGTGCCGTGCCCCGCCCCAGGACTGCCGGGGCTCAAACTCTGGGAGCCCGGGCCCGGCCTCGGGGATGAGTCCGGGGGCCCCTCGCCTCGAACGGGAAGGGGGAGCCGCTGGAGGTCTGGGGGGGGCCCAACGACGCGAAGATCGGGACAAAATCGGATCGCTCCTCCTCCTCCTCCTCCTCCTCCTCCTCCTCCCCCTCCTCCTCCTCCTCCTCCTCCTCCCCCTCCTCCTCCCCCTCCTCCTCCTCCTCCTCCTCCTCCTCCTCCTCCTCCTCCTCCTCCTCCTGTCAATCGACGCGAAGATCGGGACAAAATCGGATCGGGATAGCTCGAAATCTCTGAGGATCGGCGGGTTTGGAGGATGCACTGGGCGCCGCGGCCGCTCCAGAGCGTTCCGGAACGCTCTGAGAGCGCTCCGGAACGCTCTGGGGCGATTTATCCCGACCCTAGCCCTGTTTTAGGGGGGCGCGAGGGGGCAAGGAGGGGCCCCTGGGGGAGACGCATCGATCGAGCCCCCGACATCGCCCCCCGTTCGCCCGGCGAGGCTCGGGTGCCCCATCCCGCCCGGGAGCGCGCGGAGTCGCCACGGGGTCGGGCGCATCTCGCTGGTGCATCGGCGATGCGTTGCCGATTTCAGGTCGGCGTTCCCCACCCCCGTGAGCAGGGCTCGTTTCGATTCCTTCGCTTCGATTCGATTCGATATCGATGGCTTCCGATTCCGATGCGGTTTCCCACTGGAGGCCTAGTAGCTTGCCGATTCCCGCCGACTCGACTTGCTCCGAAACGGCTGCCGATTTTCGCCGATCCGATCCATGTCGATCGCAGATCCGTTTTATCGATGAGATCTTGGGCTTTGCTGCCTCCCCTGAGTCAGCACCCCTTCTTGTCGACCTGCCATGAATCAAGGAGCAGATGACGGACGCGGAGTACCAGTCGGCGGCTCAAAGGGCCCCGAGGGGGGGGGGCCCTGAGGATCCCGAGGCAAGGGATCCCAAGCTGAGCCGCCACTGTTTGAGGCCACTCGTCGGTGGCCGGAGGAGGGCTGAGCGACAGCACCAACACGGGGGCCACCCGAGGTCCACGATGATCCCCCCCGGTTGGAGACTGGCGATGTCTCGGGCAGGGCCGGGGAAGCACACCAGGGCCCCATTGCCCCCCTGGCGCCTCGCGCTGACGGTGGTGCTGTCGCCCTTCACTGCTCCTACCCAGTATTAAGGATGAGCGGCTTTCCATGGTTTCCTTGGCATCCTTACCCTTCGACCCATCCTGGGCCACCTTTGTTGGCCGCCCCCTGATCGGAAAGTGCCGACACGGCCTTACACGGCCCTTGCATGTGCATCGCGCATCTTTGCTGCCAGTTTTGATCGTAGGAGATGCGCCCGTAGGAGTGGGCAACATTTTGAGGCAATTTTGTATCCCCTGGCGAGAGCGGGCGTGGCAGGGTGGTCGAAATAGATGGGGTCGGGGGATCATGCCGCATTGCTGATCATTCGCTATGCGGCTCGAGGTCGAGCCCTGCGCTCGACGCCGACTTCGCCAATGCATCGCCGACGTCGCCGATGCATCGGAGATGCGGCGCGACCCTCCGACCCCATCTCGAGACCGTGTTTGATCATCCCCTGGCGACAACGGGGGTGACCAGGGGGGGGGAGGGTGGGGCCGGCCATGTCACGACTCACGCCGGCACCGTCTGAGAATGTCTAATAATGGTTGTTTCCCAGGCGGCGGTGGCACTACTCGTGACGTGACCAAGGGGGTCAGGCCCAATCACGGGCGTTATCGCACATAGTAAGAGAAGTTGCTTCTGGCAGTATCGTTGGACTCAGGGTTTCCAGGGCGATCCATTTCCAGGATGTTCATTTTGGCGATTTCCAGGGGCACCCCTCACGGATCTGTTCGACTCGTAGTGCGGTTCTTGTTTGGCTTTAGGTCGGTGCAAGATCGGTCCAAGTTCGATTCAGACTCGGCTTGATTCGACGGACGTTCGACGCAGCATCGACGCACGAGTGGGGCGACTGGCTCCTGGAGGGACCCCAGAGCGACCATGACCATGGAGGAGGAGGAGGAGGAGGAGGAGGAGGAGGAGGAGGAGGAGGAGGAGGAGGAGGAGGGGGAGGAGGAGGAGGAGGGGAGGAGGAGGAGGAGGAGGAGGAGGAGGGAGGAGGAGGAGGAAGGAGGTGGATGTAACATTTCGGATGGCCCAGGGGGCCAGAAGACGGGACGGTGCCCAGAGGGTCGCAAGGAAAACCTTCCCGCTCAAAAGCAACATATTGTCGGAGAGTATGGCCCTCAGGTCCAGGCCTCCCAACTGGGGGTCGAAGTACAAGGGGTCGGAGGATCATGCCGCATCGCTGCTGCATCGGCGATGCGGCTCCGCCAGCTTCGCCAGCTTTGCCGATGCATCGGCCATGCCACTGTTTCTCTAAGGGTCCGGCTGCAGCCCGGGCATCGTACCCGCCAGCCCCCCGCCCGATTTCCCCCTGGCCAACCTTACCCTCTCCCTTGCCGGTTGCGCAGGTCCGACGGGGTGCGCAGCAGGGGTGCGCGCGGCCAGGCGGTCTCGCTCGTCACCTTTCCCGCCCCCCCACCCCACAAAACCAGGAAATTTGTGATTTTTGTACCAACAAAAAAAACAAACTCCAGAAAATCACCCAAATTTAGAGTATAAATGACCTTAGGTTGTTTTAAAGTTCTTCCCTGCCTATTCCCTACCAGATAGCCCTGGCCGTCGCCGACAGTCACGGGACGGTCTCCAGGAGGCTCCACTGCCCGGGCATCGCTCGGACGTGTGCACCTTTTCTCGGCGGGGACTATCGAGGACCATCCAGGACCGTCCGCAAAATGCCCAGGGAATGGACGTCCGAGCGATGGCAAGGCTACAGGGCCCCACCTGGGCGACAGAAGAAAAGGCGGTCGTCTTTACCGATATTGGCGCGTAAGTTGCTCGCGTCGGGTCGCGCGTAAGCGCCCCCCTGGCTCCCGCGTGGCGTGCCGCTCTGGCGGCCCGCGCCAGCTGCAGCGTCAGGCCGCCGGGTCGCCACGCGCAAGACCCGTTCGTGTTAGTGTGAAGGCCTGGCGGCCAGTGCCGCCGACACTGCAAGACGTCGACGACGACCAGGAGGGGGAGGAGGAGGAGGAGATAAGGAGATAAGGAGATAAGGAGGAGGAGGAGGAGGAGGAGGAGGAGGAGAGAGGAGGAAAGAGACATCGACGACGACCAGGAGGGGAAAAGGAGGAGGTGGAGGAGGAGGAGAAGGAGGAGGAGGAGGAGAAGGAGGAGGAGGACAGGAGATAAGTAGGAGGAGGAGGAGGAGGAGGTGGAGGGAGAGGAGGAGGAGGAGGAGGAGGAGGAGGAGGAGGGAGGAGGAGGAGGAGGAGGAGGGGGGGGACCCGTTTACCGTATGTTCGTCGCTCACCCCTCGGGGCCCCGCCTTTGAGCCGCCCGGCCCGGAGCTTCGTGGACCTGGCGCGCGAGGAGACGCGGCGGGCTCGCGAAGAGCGGCGGCGGGCGGCGGCGGCGGCGCGGCGGGCGGCTCCGTAGGGCCGCGCTGCGTCGCCGCCGCGCCTGCCGCCCTCCCCGAGGGGGCACCGAGAACGGAGGCGGTGTGGGGCGAACGTCAGCCCCGTTGGCGTGAGCCCTCGGTTCTGGCCCTGCTCTCCCCCTCCTCCTCCTCCCCCTCCTCCTCCCCCTGCTCCTGCTCCTTCTCCTCCTCCTCCTCCTCCTGCTCCTGCTCCTGCTCCTCCTGCTCCTCCTCCTCCTGCTGCTCCTCCTCCGCCTCGCCTGTCTGCCGCCCTCCCTGGGGGTCGAGAACGGGGGCGGCGTTTGGATAACGTCAGCCCGCGGAGGGGTGAGCCTTGATCCTTGTCGGGTCTCCAGAGACGGGGGTCATCGGAGGAGGCAAAGGTATCCGTTACCCTTCCCGTCGTTCTCCCCTTTTTCTAGCCTCCTCGGAGGCCCGCGTCACCACCGCTGGATTCGCCTCGAAATCCTAGTCAGAACGCAATCCGGGAGAGGTCCGGGGAGTAGCGGTATCGGTACCTTTGGGTTTCCCCAGGGAATGGTCGGTTTCCAGAGGCGGAGGTGAATGCAAACGGGTGTCCGTCAGAGCGCCAGATCTTGCAGCATTTTTCATGGCCAGGGGTGCGCTGACACAGACTTGGGTGCAGGACTCCGAGGATCTTGCAGGATCCTGCAGGGCCCGACTGACCTGGGTCTGGATTATTGACCCGCGTCAGTGGATCCCCGACTTTGGAAACCATTTTTGTGTTCCTTGTCGCGACCGACAGATCCGTCGCTACCGATGTATGCCAAACATTCTGTCTGGAAGCGGTCGCGAACGGTCGGTTTCACCAATCGGTCGCGACCGCCCGATCGCGATTGATCCGCCCTCCCCTTGGGCTCAAGGTCCTCCGGGGCAGAGCTAGTTTGAGGCCTCCCAGAGGGGTCCTGGTAGGTGTTGCCAGTAGTGGTGTGGTATTTGGCGCTTCCCAATGCATGCGCTGCTCCAGTTATTTGAACTGATGCTGATGGGATGGGCCATGGTTCTTGCTGCGCGCCGTTCAATGATAATAAAAACAAACAAAAAACACAAACAAAAAGAAAATATGGGGTCCGGGCAGGTGTGGGGTCGGAGGATGGCGCCGCATCCGCGTTGCATCGGCGACGCGGCTCGCTGTGGAGCCCTCCCCTTGGGCTCAAGGTCCTCCGGGGCGAAGCTCGTTTAGGCCTCCCAGAGGGGGTCCGGGCAGGTGTGGGGTCGGAGGACGGCGCCGCAGCCGCGTGGCGTCGGCGGCGCGGCTCGCTGCGGAGCCCGAGGTTCTCTCTTTACGCTCGCGTCGGCGGTGGCGTCGGCGGGGGGGTGCGCTCCTCCGACCCCCCCGCGCCCACTCGGAGGCCACGCGGGAGGCCAGCCCCGGAGGTTAGGCTGAAGTCGGGCCTGTCCCTTCACAGGAGGAACATTCCAGCATAGTCCAAAAAGTGGTCAGGGGACGCTTTTCAAACTGTTTTTGCTTGCATGGGTTTTGAATGTTCTTGAATGTTCTTGAGTTGGACTGAAGTCGGGCCTGTCCCTCCACAGGAGGAACATGCCAAGATAGTCCAAACATTGCCAGGGGACGCTTTTAACATCTTGTTGTTTGCGTTTGTTTTGAATGTTCTTGAGTAGTTTTAATTTTTCTGCCCAGAGCCGCCTGTTGGGGGACATGCCCGACTGAAAGTTGGACAGGGAGGACCCCCCCCCCCCGCCCCGTTCTCTTTCGGGTGGGGGGGACAGCGCTCCTGACGGCGACGGATGAATTGCGGCGGCGCCACGGAGATGTGGCGTTTCATATTCTGCTGTCTGTTCTGATTCGCGTGATTCCGAGGTAAGTGGCTCCTGCGATCTCGGGCCGCTGAAGCAAGCATGTGTTCTGTTTTGCCCCGAAGGCTCCTTCTGTGATTTCTTGGACTCGCATTAGGCGCAAGGGCAACGTTGAGTCTGGAATGTCGACGTTCCCTGAATGTTTCGGGAATTCTCCGTCATTTTCGGGAGACTGCGAGTCCCTGGATGGTTTCCATCAGCTGGGCCTCGTCGAAAGCGTTCGCGGGATGCGAGGATCGTCCCGAACGGCCGCCAGAGTCCCGAGCTGTGACCGAAAAGCTGAGTCAAGATAGTGACACGTTCCAATTCTCCGTTTTTTGTCCCAGGATTTTCCCGATTCCTAGGATTTCCAACTTTTCCAGTTTTTTCTTGATTCGAATCCGTCATCCAATTCTTCCTCCCCGTCTTCGGCATTACATCTGTGGTCGGAAAGGCCAAATCCAGCATAGTCCCACAGCATCCCATTTATTCGGGCGTTTTTTTGGGGCTGCATCTTGGCTAATCCGGATTACTGGCCTTATAATCGGGCTTACAGTTTGAAATCGTAAATGCGAAGGTTTCCCAGAAGTTGCCTTCTAATTCTTTGGCAAAACGATGATGTGTCAGCCAGCGTGGACGCCAAACGGTGTGTTGACAAAACTACGTGATGACAGATAAGTGGTTTAGACTATGCGGTGCCATCTGTGTTGAGCAATGTATGTGTGTCAAGCTATGTTGCGTGGTCCAACATACGCGGTGCAATCTATGTGGTACAACATGTGATGCAGTCTATGTGGTTCAATATGCTATGTGGTGCAGTCTAGTTGGTGTGGTTTGCGTTGTGCAATATATGTGTACACTATATGTGGCGCAGTCTAATGATCCATGTGCTGTATGACATGTGGTGCAATCTGCGCATGAGGTTATACACACGTGTGTGTATATATGTGTATTTATAGATATGTTTATATTATGCACCCAGGCCCAGACGACGGGCGGCGACGAGGCGGCGACGTGGCGGCGACGGCAACCAGAAGGCGGCGGACCCGACGCGCAGGCCCAGGCGATGGGCGGCAACAGCAAGTACACATTCGCTTGGACGACGCGCGGGCCCAGACGACGGGCGGCGGCGGGGCGGCGACTGCGACAACACATCCGCTTGGACGACGCGCAGGCCCAGACGACGGGCGGCGACAGGGCAGCGACGGCGAGACCACATAGCCGCCAGTCTGACGCGCAGGCCCAGCTCCTTCGAAAAAGAAAGAAGCAAGAACCGCTAAGCGCAATCACTGCTTGGGAAACAACATCATGGATTGTAGCCAGCGTGGACCCCAAACCGTGCGCATCAACATACCATGGGGTGCAATCTATACGGCGCAATACACCAGGTACAAGCTATGCGATGCAACCTATGTGGGGCAACCGATGTGGTGCAGTCTGCGTTGTGCAATACATGCGGCGTACATTGTGAATTGCAGTCTATGTGGTGTGAGCTACGTGGTGCAACCTATGTGGTGCATGCAACCTATATGGTGCAAGATGTGTGGCATAAGCTTTTGTGTGGTGCATGCAAGGCACAGCAAATCAAAGCAAAGCAGTTCAAGGCAACGCAAATAACGCAACGCAAATCAATGCAATACAATGCAATGCAGCGCAACGCAGCGCAAAGCAACGCAATGCAAAGCAATGCGAAGCTATGCAGAGTGATGCGAAGCACTGCGAAGCGGGCGGCAACGCGACGACGGGCGGCGACGAGACAGAGTCGGCGGCGACATGGCGGCCAGAGTTGCCCGCAGGTGCAGGCGACGGGTGGCGACGAGGCGGCGACGGCGGCGACATGGCGACCAGAGCAGCCAGCAGGCCCAAGCGAAGGGCGGCGACGAGGCGGCGACGGCAGCGACGTGGCGGCCAGAGCGGCCAGGCAACGGGCGGCGAGGGGGTGGCGACGACGGCTACATCGCCGCCAGACCGACACGCAGGCCCAGACCCCCAAGCGACTTCAAGTGCAAGCACTCTTTGGGACAGGAGCATGAACTTCTGGCGCTCGGCGCTGACTGCTTGGATCTGCACCGGACCTCCCCTGCGGCGCCTCTGGCGCTGCCCCTGGCGCGCTCTGGGGCTCAGCGCAGATCCGCGAGACGTCCGCGCGGATCTCCGGAAGGTTACGTTTCTACCATTCGTTCTCCCTTTTTCCTCCTTTGCAGGCCTCCCAGAAAGGTCGGGGGTGGACAGAACCCCCAACAGTGACACGTCGATTAGTGAATTGTCCGTTTTCGGTTCTCGAGAGGGCGCCGTGGCCGTTATTTTCCAGGCTTGCGCCCGCCAGGTTTTGGGCCTCAGGTCGTTTTCACTAAACCACGTTTTGCTAAAGGGGGGTCTGTCCATCCCCGAAAAGGGCGCGTGGAGGATCGCACCGCATCGCCGATGCATCGGCAAGGTGGCTCGGTGTTCTCCACGCTTACTTCGCCGATGCATCGCCGACGTCGCGGATGCATCGCCGATGCGTCGGCGATGCGGCACGACTCTGAGACCGCACCTACTCGGGACCCCATGTGGGAGGCCCCGAGTTCGGTGGGGGTGGTGATAGCCGCGGAGTGAGAGAGGGAGGGCCCCCCCCGCCCCGTCCTCTCTCAGGCGGGGGAAAGAGCGCTCCCATCGGCCTCCCAGCTTGGGGTCCGAGCAGATGGGTGGGAGGATCGCGCCGCATATCGCCGATGCATCAGCGGAGCAGCTCGGTGCGGAGCCCTGTGTTCTCGACGCCGACGGGGCCGATGCATGGCGTAACATTCAGCATCGGCGCTGGTATGCCCGTGGTCGGAAACAGGTCCAGTCCCAGCGAATACCATTTTAATTTGGCTAGAATTGGTCTGCATACTTGGGTAGATCTTGACTCGGCTCTGATGTCCACTGATCGGGCTTGATGTCCCCCCCTCGGGCTTAGCTTCCCTCAACCGTAGCATTCTCGACCAGTTTGGAACATATCCCTATTCCTGTTTTTGGCATCACCTCACCTCGATGCCGATCTTAAGGATTCCCTCAGTCTCTCAGGGCACATCCATAAGATTGTCCTCGCCTTTTGATCGCCCATCTTAGGGATAGGGATCACTTCGAGGCTGGTTAATTCTGGAGCCCTCTCAGCCCCAGTCCGCTCGCGGCGGCAGATGCGCGGCGCTGTACAGGTCGCCCGGGCATTCGGGAACCACCGCCCTCCGGAGAGGCGCGTGCGGCTTGAGAAAGGGGAGCGCGCGGCATTTCTATGGTCGGCGAAAACAAGGGATGCATATCGGAGGGAGGCGACGCGATACCAACACCACCAGGGGGCCCACCTCCAGCGAGGAGGTCAACGATGCCTCCCCGAGCGAGAGACTGGCGACGTCTCGAGCGAGAGGGGGGGACCGCACCACCAGGTAGACCCCCCGTGCCTCCGCGCATCTCCTCGCCCTGTTGGTGTTTGTGCCGCCTTTCCTTGTCCCTATGCATACAGTGCCGGTTTTAATACATGCACCGCGTGCGGATCATGTATTACACATGCAGGGATCTAGTATTGAACCAACGATCAGTCCATGCATGAATTTATGCATGCATCACTCATGTAAATCCTAGATTGTTTTAAACTCCCATGTCTTAAAACCTGCCCTGTGCACACAAGCGTCCCCAGACCCCCTCCGCGTAGTGAAGGGATCGCCCTCGCGAGGCGCTGCCGTGGTCGGCCTCTCCACGGGCCCTCGCCAGGCCCAGGGACATGGTCAACGACGGCTCGGGCCGAGACGTTGGTCCCGGGAAAGTCCGAGTTGTTTGGCATCGCTCGGACGTGTGTGCTCTTTCTCGGCGGGGACTATGAAGGAGCATCCTTGAGCATCCTGCGAAAAAAGCACACACGCACGAAGCCGACAAAAAACACACGGGGAATGGACGTCCGAGCGATGGCCAGGTAGGGGATCGACTGCAGAGCTGATTTACCCCACAGTCCATCTGTCCTGCCGAGTCCACGAGCTGTTTCGTGGGTCCGAAGGGAAGAATCCATTTCGGGGTATCCAGGCTGTACTCGATCCCCCACTCGGAAGGTGATCTGAGACCTCCGAGGGTCCACGGTGTGAGAGGATCACGACGTCGTTCGTGGATCGAGTTCTGACCTTCTCTTCCCCAAGCGCGCGGAGGGCGTCAAGGACGGCGCCAGAGGGGCGGCGCCAGGGGGTCAGCGCTGGCCAAAGCAGACCGCGAGGACCTCGACAGACTATGTGCAGTTATTTTTCTGTACGGTTAAGTCGGGCATGTCCCTCTACAGGAGGGATATTCCAAAATAGTCAAACCATTGTCTGGGGACGTTTTTTAGACTAATTTTGTGTATTCCTCTGGTTATTCCAATTTTTTGTCCAACATCCGCCTGTAGGGGGAGATGCCCGACCTAACCGCACGGGCGAGCTGGGCATGCGCACACTTCATGAGCATGCCGCGGCATCGTGCGCCAGATCGGGGAGCCCGCCTTGAATGGTCATCATGCCGCCCTCTGCTGCTTAGGGACCCGGCCCAGAGATCCGACGCCTCTGTCCTCAACCCTGCCGTGGTGGCCTCTCATTTGGAAGAAAGCACCGTGGTCCCTACCTCCTCCTCCCGCCTCCCTTATCCTCCCTGCCTCCTCCTGCGCTGATCCATGGGTGGCTGCGAACTACACAAAATCGCACTTTCGTGGGATCCTGGGAGTCAGGGGCCACGCGGACCCAGACGAGACCTCGTTGCTCTCTGGGTGGCTGCGAGCTGCGCATCCGTCGCCAATTTCGTGGGCTCCTGCCTGTGTTGGCCACGAACAATGTTCCGGACGTTCCGGACATGCTCCGGACTCCGGACAGTTTGTTCCGGACAGTTGTTCCGGACAATTTGTTCCGGACAGTTGTTCCGGACAATTGTAGAAACTGACGTCCTTGGGGGCCGCGCCGCCCAGGGACGTAGATTTCGGACGTTCAGGCGCCGCGGGGGAGCAAAATCGACGTCCTTGGGCGGGGGAATTCTCCCTGTGGTTGGTTTTTCTGGCGTTACCGTTTCGGGGGTGGGCGGGTCGGGGGGGGTATCTGGCGTTATCCCTTTCGTATGTCGATCTTGGGACGTTTGGGGCCCGTTCTCGGGCCCCCGAGCGCGACGCCGTCAGAAACGGATCTGGAACGAACGCTGCGCCCCGGAGTGCTGGAATCGCCCGGAACGGCTGCCGGAGGCCCGAAGTACGGCCCAGAAACCGATAAGATTTTACACCGAGGTTTACGCCTCAAGGCCCTGAAGATCGAGGTTCGAGATTTTCTGGCCTTCGGGGGCCTCCCTCCCCATACTGCCTCCTCCTCATCATCCTCATCACCATCACCATCATCATCATAATCATCATCATCATCATCATCATCATCATCATCATCATCATCATCATCATCATCATCATCATCATCATCATCATCATCATCATCATCCTTCTCATCATCTTGTATCATCATCATTATTCTCCTCCTCCTCCTCAGACTCGCGATAGCGAGCTGGGGCCCGAGGAATGGCCGTGAGCGGGGCTGAATGGCCGCCGCGGCGTGCGGCGCGGACCGCGCTTCTTCCTCTCTCCTCTCTCTTCTCTCTTCTCTCCTCCCTTCCCTCCTCCTCCTCCTCCTCCTCCTCCTCCTCCTCCTCCTCCCTTCGTCCTTCCCCCCGCTGTGGCCGATGGCCTTGAGCAAAAGCAACTCCTCCTCGTCCTGCTCCTCCTCCTCCTCCTCCTCCTCCTCCTCCTCCTCCTCCTCCCTCTCCCTTCGCCGCCTCCCACCCGCCATCCTCCCTCCCTTTTCGATCCTCTTTGTCCCCCCTCGCCCTCCTCATCCTCTTCCCCCTTCCTCCTCCTCCTCCACCCGTTCCTCGTTATCCTTCTTCGCTTTCACCCCCGCCCAGGGACGTAGATTTCACATGATGCGGAGCCGGCGGGTCCCGAATCGTACGTTTCTGGGCCCCGACAGGCTCCCATGGTGGCTCCAGGCCGAGGGCGCTCGGGCTCCGGGGTCGTCTGGGGGCCATGGGGGCCGTCTTGGAGCTCTCTTGGGGCGATCTTAGGCTGTCGTGGACGTTGCGAAGATCCATGATGCGATTATGTCAAGATTGTACGCTTTCCTTTGGGAATGGGAAGATTTTTGTTTCTTGGACCCCCCTTGGGAGATTTCTCCAAGGCCTCTCGAGATATAATCGGGACATTTTGGGCCGTCGGGGGGCAATGTGGGGCGTCTTGGAAAAATTATTGGGCGATTGGTTGGTTGGTTGGCTGGTCGGCGCGGCCTGGTTGGTTGGCTGGTCGGCGCGGCTTGGTTGGCTGGTCGGGCCCTTGGGTTGCACGCTTGGTTGGTTGGCTGGTCGGGCCCTTGGGTTGCACGCTTGGTTGGTTGGCTGGTCGGCGCGGCCAGGCTGGATCGTCGGATGGGGGGCCGCAAGTAAAGGAGGCGACCCTAGCGGTTGTCGGATGCCGGTCGGTTGTCGATTTCCGCGTAACTCGTGGACGCCTATGGCAGGGCGCGTCGCTGCCCAGAAACGTATGTTTTGCTTACCTCGGCCGTCGGAGCGCTCGAAATCTAAGTCCCTGGGCGAGGGGGTAGGCAGGAGGCAGGGCCCCCCGGACCCCCCTGAGCAATTGCTGGATGCTTGACATCAGCATGGGCCCCCCGGCACACTGCCCCAACGCACGGTGCGCGACGCGATGATACGGAAGGGGAGGGGGGGGGCGGGGAGGAGGAGGCGGGGGCGAAGGACGAGGGCGGGGACGAGGGCGAGGAGGACCGAGCCTCGTCTTCCGTTGCCATTTTGGGCCAAGCCCCCCGAGGGTCGGTTGCGCTGGCTGGCCCTGGAGAGCGGCAGACTTTGCCGCGTGCCCAGGGACGTCCATTTGGGCCCCTCTTGGCATCGGAACGCCCGATATCTACGTTCCTGGGCGGCCTGCGGGCCGCGGGTGCTACCAGGCCGGAGGGCCCTGAGGCTCCCAAGGACCTCGGGAGTAGGGGGGCCCAGGGACGTGGAATCCACGCGTTTGTTCCAGACAATGTTCCGGACATGTGTTCCGGACAATGTTCCGGACAGGTTTGTTCCGGACGTTGTTCGTAGCCAACACAGGGTAGGTCCAGTAAAGTCGGGGGCCGCACGGACCCAGCAGAGATCTCGCTGCTCCCTGAGTGGCTGCGAACTGCGCAAGCATTGCCATTTTCGCAGCCTCCTGGGAGGTCCAGTGGAGTCGGGGGCCACACGGACTCAGCGGTGACCTCGCTGCTCCCTGGGTGCGAAGTTCGCCACCGTCGCCCCTTTCGCGGGCTCCTGGGAGGTCCAGCAGAGTCGGGGACCAGGCGGACCCAGGTGGTGCCTCGCTGCTCTCGGGGGGGGCTGCGAACTACGCAGCCGTCGCCACGTTCGTGGGCTCCTAGGGGGGGGCCAGGGGAGCGGAGGCACACGCGGGCCCAGCCGAGACCTCGCGGCTCCCCGTGAGGGTGCGAAGTGTGCAAACGTCGCCACTTTCGTGGGTTCTTGGGGGGTCCCGCGGAGTCGGTGGGGCACGCGCGCCCAGACGGGACCTCGCTGCTTCCTGGGAGTTTGCGAATTGCGCAAACGTTGCCATTTTCGTGGGTTCTTGGGATGTCCGGGGTCGAAGGCCACGCGGACCCAGACGAGACCTCGTTGCTCCCTGGGTGGCTGCGAACTGCGCATCTGTCGCCAATTTCGTGGGCTCTTGGGGAGTCCAGCGGAGCAGGGGGGCACGCGCACCCAGACGGCATCCTTGTTGCTCAATGGGTGTCTGCGAACTGTGCAACCGTCGCCACTTTCGAGGGCTCCTGGTAGGTCCAGCAGAGTCGGGGGCCAGCGGGCCCAGCCGAGACCTCGCGGTTCCCTGGGAGGCTGCGAAGTACCCAAACTTCGGCTGTTTCGTCGGCCTTTGGGGAACACGGCGGAGATGGGGGCATCGCAGATCTGGTACGATGTTCCTTTTGTATGGAGCGTTCATGCAAAGATTCGCCTCGCGTGGACAGGGGGCGAGTTATTGTTGATTCAATGCGGGGTCGCGGAATATCCCCTCCTTGGGACCAGTTTTGCATCTTGTGTTGTTGTTTGATTGTCCCACGGCCCAGCAAGAACTTCTAGAGGCCGAACATGTTGAGCAATTGCCGTCTATGTTGTCCAATGCGCTGGAGGTTTGGGCCTGACCTACTTCACTACCCTTGTGATCACTCGATGGCACGCAGAGCGCGGTAGAGGCGGCCTTGGAGACCGCCAGTGAGGCCCAG